TTGAATTCAGCGCGCGCTTGCTCGACGAAGGATATAACCTCCGTTGCAGAAAGAATAGCTTTTTAACACGGATAAATATATTTCTGTTAGAAAATTACAAATGTGTGGGAAACAGAGAGAATAGCATACATACACATGTGGTCTGTAAATCACTTTTTGCCTTTTATACTATATTAAAGTAAATTTTTTATTAAGATGAGATGCTTACGTAAGAAAATTCATTATTAATTTGCGTAATCTTCACGACTGCTTTGTTAATGGACTTTTTTTGCGATTGATATATGCCAGGTTATATATAAAACTATATCAATAGCCAGAGAAAAAGCCGTCGCTAAAAGAAATCGTGCATAACGCTGAGCCTTCATAACGATATGGTCAACGGCTTCGAGGACACGTTCTTGCCCATTTTCAGTATCAACAAATTCAAGGCAATCCAGATTTAGATCGCAATTAGCGGTAGTGGTAACTAATAAACATTTTGTTCATTAGATACTTATGTGTATCCATGCGTAAAATTATCGTCGAAGTTTTTATAAAACTTAGGTAAACGCAGGATAACTTCTGGTATCAAAAGGCGTATATAGAAATATTTGTATTTTCCTTTTCAACAAATTTTAAGAATATCAGAATTGTATAAGAAAAATACATGAAAACTGATTGTGAGTAGGTATATCTCAATAGAAAAGCAAAAGTGCGTTTTATCGCTTTATTTTGAGCACAGTCTGATATCTATTTCTGCTATCCGCCATGACTAATGCCGATCTGAGGAGCGATAAGAAAGAATATAAGGGAACGCCGTGGCGTCTCTTGATTTGTTCATAGAACGAATTCTTGCTCGCGAAGAAAGAGACTGACTAAGAGGCAACGCGACATCAGGGGGCCGCATATCGTCCTCGAAGATCGGCGAAAGGAGGAGGTTCCCCGAAATGCATGTCGTAGCTCTATAAATACAAACAGACATTTAAGGCCTATAACCCCCGTCCGTGGAGCAGAGAATAGACGTACAACGCGAGGTGGTGTGCACACGTGTGCGCACTTTTATGCGCAAGTATGAACAAGGATCGATCGAGAAGATCCCGCGAGAATGCGATACTCTGAGAGACAGATATATGGCTTAACATACGTGTAGAAAATCGCGATTATCTCTCGTTTAATCACATGGGATATCTCGGAATTAGATAAAATCAAGAAATAAAAAAATTCTTCACGATTCTGAGACGACCTGCATATATAGATATCATAGAAATGTCGTAATGCTAACTTTTATTATAGCTAAAGGAGCACTTCTATTTAAATAATTTTGTCATTATTTAAAAACAATTATTTTATCAAGGAAATTCATTGCTCTACTAAAAAATTTGGTTATACATGTTAAATCGTGATATGTGACGTCTTTTAAATCGCGATAATGCGGGGTTGGTAAAATTATTGGTATATACTCGTCAGAATCTGTCGATACCCTTCCGATAGATAGTCCCGTAAACATGGCCATTTATTAACTATAAATAGAACGAATGTGTAGCATCACGCTATCAACAAAGTATAAAAATATCAACAGGGTGCACATGCAGCAGGTACGGTAAATATATTACGTTTAACCCTTGATATCGCAATCGAAGAGATATTTAGTAGAATTTAATTAAAAAGAGAACAATAGAAAGCTGTGTAGGATTTGCATGGAATTATCTTCTTATTATTCACATTTATAACATTTTTTTTATACGAGTACTGAATCATAGGACGAGCGAGAAGGTCCTTTCAGACTGCAGGCGAACCGTTTGTCCGTTGAAAATAAATTGCTATTATTATTTCCGCATGCACGACACGTGGACCTGGCGATTCACGCTCAATAGCGGCCGGGACTAAATGGAATACGCGTCGCAAAGGATAATACCGGACGGAAAATATCCCTTTCAAAAAGCCACGCCGTTCCTAACGCGATCTAATACCGCGCTGTGTCACGCTATATATCCCGCGATATATTCCTGCGATCCGTGAACTTTGTGAGCGCGCAAAAGCGGTCGCAATTTGCCTTTGAAAGGCTCGCTGGGGCGTACAAAATTTTCCTTCTTCATCGAAAACGGATCCTCAGGACCTTCAGGCCTTTGCCGAAGAAACGGAACAACTCATAAGGACATCGTAAAGCGGTAGCGACTGCAAGAGCCTTGTTTTACGGTATGTTACTCCGAATCATTAAATTCGTAAGCGGTATAAATCCGTAAAGGTAAAAGTTCTTGCTTGAATTCGTACTCGCCTTTGTGTGCGCAAAGCTCCTTGAACGTGCAATTAAAATCTCGCCAAGGAGCGAGAAAACTCGCAGTGGATAAACGTATAGGTTAGTAAGAAAACAAATTAGAAATATGCTCGCGCGACGAGATCTCAACGAGCTTGAACCAGAGGATTCGTAAAAGCGTGCGCGCGCGTTTTTGAGTGTATTTAAGGACTCGGCGAAGCCGCGAGCACGCGGTAACGCCCGCAACATGCGGCAAATGGCGCGGCAAATGTCTCGCAGGCTCGAAATCTACCGCTAAATTTACGCGAAGAAGGAGAGGAGGTCCACACGGAGGTCCGCACGAACCACGAAGAGCTCCTGCACTTCTTAGCGAAGAAAAGAGCAAACCGTGCCGAAGCTCGAAGCGCGGGGGAATGTTTTTGCGCGCGGCTATTTTCCCGCGTAAGTCTAAAGTAAAGCGAATCTTGATGATCGTCCGCGACTGTACAAGTAATCTTGAAGATGTATGTGCCAACTTCGAGACATGAAGAAATTGAAAGGATTCGAAGAAGACAGGAACAGAAGTAGATATTTCTGGATGTGGCAATAATGATCATTATTATAAAAATAATAATTTAATAATTAATTTATAGAATTAGATACAGAATTAGAATGAATAAATCTAATGGTTATGTATTGCAAGCTTTGGAAGTGACGTTAGTGCTAACGTTAAACTCCGTACACAGTTTCTCCGTTTGTTATTCATATATATTTACGGAACAACGATAAACCGCGCACTTTATGCTTAGAATGGAACATTTTAATACATAATCGGAGTACGTAATATTTAATCGCAGTAGGTTAAATGTACATTCTATGTAGGATGCATGAATGTAGTTTGCTATTAACGTCACAAGTTACGGCGCGCACGTACACATACGTATACACAGCGGCGCTATTATCAGACGACATTTCGCGAAATCATCGTCGCAAATGCAAACGACCACGGATGAGGAGGACTATAGAATTTGCGCGCAAAAGGATTGAAAAATCAGCAGATAAACGTTAAACGAGAAGTGGACGAGCGCGCCGTTAAAAATCATCGCTGGCGCAATGCGGAAAACACGAATACCGTCTCCGTGCGTCGGCTTCCCTCTCTCTCTCTTTCTCTCTTTCCCCTCCTCTCTTTAAAAAACGCAGTGTTGGTGTATTAATTTTGTCCTTACTCCGGAAAAAGGCAATATATTACGGAATTCCGTTATCCCAACTGCGGAACGTGTTGTATCAGCACATTAAGACGTGCATGAACAGAAATACATAAGTAATGTTCTGGGGAACTAAAGATCCTAATTAATGAATTAACACGTAATATAATAAAAGACTCATATATGTAATATCGATATAATAAGTCTTTTATTAACTGATCCTTTGATCATTATGAAATCCATCTCATTGAAATTCCAGAACATCCTGCACTCATCTTTATCACGAAGACATAGAGCATGGATACATTTCTTTTTATTGATCGTTTTATGCTTCCTTTTTACTGCTTCTAATTAAATATGTGGACCACGTTGGCGTCGCTAGTGATGAACTCCAAGCACATATTCGCATATAGCGATTGTAACGACAATTTCGTGACGATAATGGCTAATGGCAATATCGGTGAAGCCGATAAGATACATAATATTGTCCCCTCTTATTTCCGAGAGAACGCTCGGAAAAATTGTTATTGTAGAAAACATATTTTTGCTATAAATATAAGAATGTATAAAAAGGACATTTTATAAGCGTCTTTTCCTCGAAATTACGTAGGTTGTAGGCGTTTTTTATGAAAATAAACGACTTCTCTCGACGTAAAACATTGCGTTTTGCTCGTGCGAGTGGGAAAAAACGAAATTCTACCGTATCGATCATTCGAAGTGCATTACTGCCGCATGATTACGAAGCGAACAAATGTTCGCCATAAAAGCCAATTAATATCATAGTATTAATACCATTTACGAACCTTTCTCGCGCGATTGAAAGAAGCTTTACCGGCGCCGCCGGTCTTCATGCGCGCCTGTGGGGAAAACATAGATATAGAACGCGGATGAATTAGCGCCTCGCGATATCGAGCGTGTAGACGATTAGGAATAAACGAGTTACGCGCGATTGCCTTCTCGCACAAGAGAGAAAAAGAGAGAGAGAATGAGAATAAGAATGCGTGTGTCCGTTTTACCGTCCGCCTAGCAACTATCCGTCCGTCAACTCGAGTCTGTCCGATAACTCGGAAGGAATGTAATCGGAAGAGGACGCGAGCACCGTTAGAGACAGGCACAGTCGTGCAGGCGTCCAGGAAACGAGCAATATGACGGATATGTGCGATCTTAACCCGGAAACGCGACGTCGCGATACGACCACCGAAACGGAGGATTATAATCGCGAACGGCAATTGTAAGGTGCACTCTCACAATCAGCCAAGCTCAGCATGCCATGTTACGGTGGACTGTTGTGTCCGATACGTGATCAGACTTCGATATTCTCACGCGGATATAATAATTATGACAATGAACACGTGTATCAGCTATAATCGTACGCATATATGTGGATTAATGCGTGCCGTTCTGATAACGCGTAAGGATCACGCGTGGGACTCGCCGTCCTTTCCGCACAGAGAGGTAAAGGGGGTCTTTTCCATTATATGTCCCCGCACTGTGTAACTCATATCTTTTTCTGTTACTAATGATAGCAAAAAGCATTTACGGCAGTTGCGAAACTCGATCTCATGAAACAAGCGAGATCTCACCTTTCGCGAGGCGGTTCAGGATGAGGTCCTTGTGTTGTGCGGTGTGAGGCTCAGGAAGCACCACCAGAAGGTAGCAACCGCTCAGGGGCGACGGCGGCGGATGTTGTTGCGGTTGCTGTTGCTGTTGAACGGCCGCCTGCACCACCGGCACCGTGGTGCCGGCGATCGGCGTGCTCGGGGATGCAGTCTGCTCGACATTTGTCGTCGTGGCACCCTCCCCTCCTCCTCCCCCTCCTCCACCCTCCCCGGTGGGGTCCGTGGTACTCATTGCTGCAACATTATATTATCATATATAGATTTTTCGGGTAAAATAATCCTTTTTCTGTATTAATTTTCTGCATGCTATTTGTTAACCGACGTATCTTTTATCAACGGCGGACCAATGATTGATTTTATAAGAATTTTTTTTAATTAGAAATAAATTCAGATATGACAATTTTAACAGAACTTTTGAACACGCGACATGACAATAATAGTCTGCTGATCGCTGACAAATTAAGCGAGAAGTTATTCAACCATTAAACTGTTTCGCTACTTTCTCATTTAAATCTAATCAGTCTTTTAAGCGCCGCTATACTTAGTCTTCTTTTCACGACGGCCGACCATTAAGCCTTCAATCACTGACGCGATGTACTCGGCTTTTAAATCTTAAATAACCAAGATCGTAATACTTAGCATAAGCGGAAGGAAAATTACGTTATCACGGTGAGCTCCGCGTGAAGGAATTACAAAATAAAAAGTAACTTTAATATCTTCGTGAAAGTAAAATTTCATATCTCGTTAAGGCAAAGCGCCGGCTTAACGTTATCACGGCTACGACTACTCTTTATTAGTGTAGTACGCTACACGCATGGTGCTAATTGCAATTAACGCGTCCAACGCGGTCAGCCCACGACAAAGAACGAAAGCTCCCAGCCGAACGATTCATGTTCCCGCTATCGCTCTGCCTCATATTATTCGTTAAATCTACTTCTGTCGCGCCATCGTATACCGTTCTGTCCGACAAATGGCTCATGCGGATGCTCCATCCGCACCGCCGCGCGCCGCACGAGAGATGAGAGATGAAACGGACTCGGGGCCGAAATAGAAGTGGCAAGGGTCGAGGAGAAGCGTATAACGCCGAGGGGGTTGGCGGTACACAAAGCGCCGCTCTGCCTCCTGCCTTGCTCCTCTTCCTCAAATCGAAACGCGGCCGCAATTCCTTTTCCGTACAAACAGCATAGTCTCGAGATATTACCCTTTAATAATCGCTTTATGGTCGACGAACGTACACACCGGGGGGGGAAACTTTATACGATGGACGATCAATCGTTGAAAACTCTCGACGAACTTCCCCGGCGAAAGTCGCGACGAGACAATGGGGATATCATTAAGCGATCTCGGTTGTTTTGCAAACCTGCGCGACTTACAAATTTTAGAAGGAGACACCGATTCCACTCAAGTCAATCTCTAGAAATCCGCAACAATGCTTATTGTTAGTAGAAACTTTTAAACAATTCTCGACAAGAATAATTCTCGGAATTTACTTCTAAACGAGATTCGAATAGTTGATTCATCTGACATCTACAACAATTTTCATAAGAATCTATGTCACGTCGTCCTAAATTCGGAGATATCTATACGTACGAGAATTCGAGTGGAAATGTTATACTAGCCGGTCGCCGAATCGGTCGAAGATCTCAAGGCAAAGGCTGCACACCAGAGCGCGGCCCTGCGCACTTTTCTGCAGCTAACAATATAAGCCGAACGTCGATGAGATTCCCGTCGAAACCCTACGAGAGGTCGAGCTTTGTCCGTCGAAAGGGAAATCGGTTTTCCGGGAAAAGGGGGGGAGTCCGAGAAGCCTCGCGCATTTTCACCGTGGAATTCGCGGAATTTCCAACGCTTGGCGATCGCGGCCGATCGCGCGGCGGAGGATCGTCGGGGAACGATCCCGAGGAGATTGCTACCCTCTCGACGAGTCGGCGCCGTGGTCGCACCGCACGCACGCACGTCGACGAAGCCGGCATTGCGCAGGATTTACACGAGCCCTCCGTGCGGCGCTATCATATCCTGCCGGGCGCAATGCGCAGGACAGGCATGATGCCGGGTGTCCCGCACACAGTCCTTAGATCATTGATCCAAATTCGACTGGAGTCCAACGAGGGGAACAGCCGACCGAATCGCGATCGATCTGCACGAAACGTACGACGGCCGGTCACGGGGGGGACGATATCCGCTGTTAGACATTGATGGATAGCACTCTCGACAAGTTCCCTGTCTTTCTATTCGCTTATCTCTAACGAAACGATCGGAGAAGATCGAATTACGATATTCTATTACTGAAAGTGATAAAGATGACCGGCGAACAAGAGTCGATGGCATCCCGGCGAAACTCTCAGGACGAGACCACCCCACCACGTTCCGTGCACTGCAGTGCAACCCCTTAGTAACAGATCGCCCCCTCTCGCGAGGCGCCTGACGGCGGCGGCAGCGGCGACGGCGACGGCGGGCGGTGTGCCGACCGATAAAATCCATACGTCATATGGCAGGCGAGGAAATCGTCAGCGCGAATTTCGTCAGAGTTGCATACACCGCAACCGTCTATCCGTCCGTCCGTCCGTCCGCCGTCGGTGCCGCCGTGACCCGATTAAATGGTGGGTCGCCGACACGTAACGGATTTCGATCGGTTCGAGAGCCTCGCGAGCCCTCGACCAAGTTTCCAATAGTAGTAGCGCACTCACCTGGTTACTCGTTACACTCCCTCCCCAGCAATATTCCTGGGTACCACGAGCCGGGGTAGCTTCGACGACTGGGTTCCAGATTCCGGAAGTATCCTGGAGGGCTGGCTACCGGTCGCGGTAATAGGCGAGCAATGACGGTCGCCCTTGACTGACGGGACGTCCTTCGGAGGAAAGGAGAGAGTCACGCGTACGTCAGAGACTGTCCGTCTCCGAGCTGTTCGTCCCTTCGTCCGCTTTCTCGAGACCCCGATGGGAGATGGAGCAGGGGGCACACCTCTCTCGTTCCCTTCACGCACCGCGAAAAGTACTGTACGGACGCAGAGATCGGAGCGATTGAGAACGGATGAATTAAAGCGAGCGGTGGAGCAACGTAGAGAGAAATAACGGGCAAGGAGGGAGTATAGGACGACGGATAGAAATAGGACAGTGGAAAAAAAGACAGTCACAGATAGAACGGAAAGAAGAGAGCGGTGAGGAATGACAGGCAACTCGTGTGTAGCACAATGACGTACGTTTAACGTTATACGTGTCTCTGTGTGCCGGAGCGAGTACACGGCGGTGCCACGACGCTGGGCGTCGCGAAGACGACGGGGTTGCGAGCGGACGGGGCGAGCGAGAGACCGAACGAGAGAGAGGAGTGACCGGGGGAAAGAGAGAACTACGCGAAAACCGGCGTAGGGAGATCGACGGACGGGTTCCGACGACGGTTGAAACGACGTTTCGTTGCCCGATGCGGAAGCCTCTCCGTCGAAGGTGCACGTCGGCACGTCGTACGGACGCGAAATCCTCCTCTCCTCTCGACGGGCTGTTCCCCGCTGTCGACGGCGACGAGAGCGAGGGCGACGACGACGATTCTCACTGTGCGGCCTCTCGGTTATCAAAGCTCGGCAGCAACACTCGCGTTGCGGGCTGCCGGCTCTCTGACGGGAGAACTCGCGGCGCTGCGGCCCCCTGCGTCGACGGCGGCGGCGGCGGCAGCGGCGGCGGTGACGGTGGCGGTGGAGAACCCTCTCACCCCCCCTGTCGCGACGCACCTACCGGCATCCCCACTAGTCGTGCGGCGCGATTGGTCGTCCGCGCAGCCGGGCCTACCGCCGTTGCCGTCGTCGCGCCGGTCTATACGCCGTCAGGGACGATCACCACGTATAGAACGCTTCTGGGTATATTGTACGTGACCGGAGTTTGTCTGGGTGTCGCGCGAACCGAGTAGCGAGGGGGAGGCCGTCGCGCGAGGAAGCCCTGGAGGGAAGGAATACACACGACCGTCGAATTTGCCGGTAGAAACCGGCGAAAGGGCTAGACGTAACGGAAATGACGTAACGACCGTCAGATCGGAGTATCCCCGAAGCGATCGTAAGAGCTGGGTTTTCCTCCTTCGACGGAGGTCGCCCGCCGAGAAGGATAGAGATAACGAGGATCGGGACCTACGTGCGCTCGGTACACACACGCACGGAATCGGCCGACTCGCACGTTGGGGATGACATGCCGGCGAGGATCAATCGACGAACCGGGCGTGCCCGGCATTGTAATATTCGCGGATATTGTAACGCCTTGAAAGTTGGCTTAGCATAATGGTAATGGAGTTAGGGGCGAGTGATAGATAGGGGCAATTAGCGGTCGTCGTTTTGGTTCCGTATTCACGATTAGAACGCGGCTGAAGATTATCCCGCGATTATCCTCCACAGATTCCGCCGGGATTTGTACAAACTGAATTATTGCGTCTAATACCAGATATTTATATTCCTGAATGCAATTCTATTAGTTGATGAGTTACGAAATTAGCTGAAATGATCGTTACATGGCCAAACTGGCGTGACCTTGCTCGATTGCGGGGGATGGCATCTAACAGAACGAATGCACTTAATGACAAGTGGAAACTGGGTGATGCATTACCTCAATAGATTCTCGGACAAAAACAGGTTTTTAGTTTCAGCCATTTTGCTTTCGTAAAGCTAGTAATTTATCAATCAACGTGGCACCTTTTGCAAGCTGTACAACGAGGGGAACATGAAGTATGACTAAATGCAACGTACAACAATAGTGGGAAATGTAAATGTACGCCTATTATGTATTAAGGATAAAAAATGTAGGATAAACAATCTATTTTTAAAACCTACACACATACTTTCTGATTTTGTTACCTTATATGGTCATTAAGATATTATTTTATTACATAAATAATTATAAATATCTAGTATCATAGACAATCATATTAATAAATCAATATTTCTAATAAAAATCTTAAACTATAAATAAATTTTTTTCGAAAGTTTGTCGCAATATCAATGACTCAATAGTTTTATGAGATATTTATGACTTTATATCTAATTTTTTTTCTATTTTTTTATGGATATAAATGGGATCACTCGTTCGCCCGCCTGATGCTGGTTAAATTCACGAATTTATCGGTTCCAGAAGAAATATCTCTTTCCCCGCAGGGATGACTGATCCACGCAGTCATTTGGGCTTAGCGAACCCACGGACCTGAGCTCAATACGCTGCGGATCCTCTCACATATTTACACGTCATATATACACCTATATACATTTACACATGTCGTAAACGAATCCCATAAACATTTTTGGAAATAAAATGAAAGCAACATATAAATCTAATCTAAAAAGAACAAGATTAAGACTCATATCGTTTTATATTGAAGCAGGATAACGAAGGTTAAAACTTATCTGTATCTATATATCCTTTTTAAACAATTTCTTTTTCTTTCTCTCTCTTTTTCTCTCTGTCAGAAACATAGCGGAAAGTCGATATTCTTTGTGTTAGTATGTGCCGGGTGACAAGATGGTGACTGTCGGGATGTGGGAAAAGTATAGAGAAAATCGACGGAAGGGGTGAGTCGGGGCTGCCATTCTCGTATCCGAAGAATTTCCTTCCTCCTGACTCCATACGACAGCCAGAATAATGTATCTGGAAAGTGTTGCTGCCGCACGGGCGAAACTTCGGTAAGCGGATTCGTGAGTTCCGCTTTTCACGAGCGAGACTCGCGCCGCCCTGAACCCGGACGTCGATAGGAGCTCGTGCGAAGAAGAAAAGTATCACTTCTCAAACTTTGTCTCTGCGTTTCTCTCATATTATAATATTAAATTTAAAAATTATTGCCTTCACGTTCACGCTTCTTGTTCCCTGATTTCCTTTCGTCCGATGAGTGCCGCGTGTTCCGAATTCTAGATTTCGCTTCCCGATAAATTACCGTTCAGGTAGCACGTCGTAAATGTGTCTATAGAAATCGGAGCAGATCGTGGATGAACGATAAGTAAAAGCGAGTCGTAACCTGCGATAATTATAATCACACGTTCGCGTTGGTTAACTAATAAAAAATTTTCGCGATACACCCGAGTTCACTAAATAGCGTATCGAACGTGTAACATCGACAGATCCATGATTCTCTACGTGACAGTGTATCGATTTCGAAAGGAGACAGATCTCTCGTCCGATGCAAGTTTAATGCTCCAGCTCTAATGGCGCACGGTTGTTTATCGCGAGCAGGTCGGCGATCATGGGTGCGCAGTAACGACGGCAGTTAAATATCAAGGGACGGTTCGATAACGGTACGAGAGAACGCGAGATATAAGTCCGTTATAAAAAGGCGATTTATCGCAGTCATGCTCATTTGTCGCATTGCGGTGAGGAACGTACATTGTGCGATCCTTCGAGACTCGCCGGAATTCTCGCACCCAAAGGCATTCTCTCTGACGGAATCTCTTAATGAACCAGGCACGCACGCGTCAACTTCAACGCTTTGAAAAGCGCTCGAGTGTGCGATAAAACAAAAAAAACATCATCTCGTTACTACTCGTAAAGATATAATACCGCAATATTGCCCGTAATAACACGTCAGTATAGGCTAAACAACGAGAATAATTTTACATACAGATTTTACATGCTCCGTGTCTCTTCCTGTTTAATTATCTCAAAGATTCCGCTAGTTAATTTAAATTTCTCAAATAGTTCCTAACGCTATTAACTATTTCCTCTTGATCTCAGTGTGTCTTCGTATCTGTAATATATTTTCAATTTTACGCAATTTTCGTAAAAGGACCTCTTTTTTATTTGATCTACGCCCGCAAGCGCGAGATAACTTATAATTTACTAACTGAAAATTTTTTTCGACGTGATGTGCGAGCAAAACCTAATGTCTAAGTGCCTCGCAGGAATTTTTGAGCAGCTTTGCAGGGACGAAAACGTGACTACGCTACTAATGCTATCTATTCAGGAACGTTCATAATACTTCCCGACGCGACCGAAACATCGCATGGTTCGCCAAAGGCATTCTAACATAACGACAATGTCTGAGATCGTAGTGAAGCCACCGTGCATAATTGAATCTAATAGCTCTTCAATTATCTCGCGCTATGTTTTTCTTCAATACAATTCTGTGATGTACGAAATGCAACCGCGTGACATTTAATTTAAATTTGCATGGTATCGTGTGTGACTGCGCGGAATTACATAATAATGGAAATAAAAAATAAAAAATATGAAACAGGATGCACAAATAAAACAATATATTGAGCGCAATTAAAAAATATATAGAGGCATTAAATGAGAAATGAGATCTTATCTATTTGTGTCACGATCGAAGAAAAGCCAATTATTTTTAGTCTGTCTGTCCTATAATTATATATATATACGTATATATATATATATATATATATATATATATATATATATATTTCACACGGCTTGACATTTTCACTAAGAAAAGAACGTATTATTAAAGCGGAAAATTTATGTGCTACTAAAGAAAACAGAGACAATTGTATCTTCCGACGCGTCGCCGTCTGCGCTTATTGGAAAACTCGTTTTCGCCGCCTGCTTAAAACGCAAAGTTGAATTTATGCAATTTCGAGAATGGTCGACCTCTGATGTTAAAGCCATCCATTAAACTCCTCTTTAGCATTTAAGTTTCGAGTAATACGCGCGCGATGCTCGCAGCCGCTTGAGCACGTGTCGCGCCTTTAAAGGGGGATTGATACATTTTTTATCGGGTCGTACGATCGGTAGCATGCTCTTACTTTATCCTATAGATAGAACTACGACAGATATACCTTTAATCTTTTTCCCAGAAATATGATCCGGTAAGTCGCGCATTATGTACGCGAGATCGAGAACGCGAGTGAGATTGAGAACGCGAACGAGATTGAAATTAGCATCTCCAAATTCGGAGATGCACCAAGCGTAACTATACTTTAATAAGGCCCGCTTCGAGCGGCGATGAGATTACATAATCTATGCACGCATTGCGGAAGTTTACCCTTAGCTCTTCGAAGTTTGTCGAACTAAAATAATTGGAGACGGAGTCGAGACTCTTGAAAAGAGAATCTGCGACGTAGTACTTGTCACTTGTTCACAATTTCGAATCCAGTGTAATTTATTCAATGATATAATTAGTCGAAATTATACATTCTCTCGTTTGAACGAAAATCCACGAATTAAATATGATAATTATTAATTAAATATTTATCGATCCCTTTTTGATTAGCCATCAAGACTCGACGTGAACGATATTTGAGCCGAAAGGCGATAAAAGAGCGACGGTGCAGGTCACGTACATGCGCAATCTATGCGTTTTACTAATTACGTCTGTGCTACCCGGTTAACTGTACTTTTGGACGGTAGCAACACGGTAGCGATAGCGGTTTGCAAGAGATTGCAATTCTGCAACGAGGGACGAGAGGAGATCTCCGGAACGAATGCAGTTTGCATCTGCTTCTCTGCTATCTCTCCCTATCCGTCCTCCTCCGAGTCTGTACGAATCCCAACGCGATACATTTGCATACATCGCACTGCTCTGACACCGATGTGACGCGACTCACGATTAAGAGGTTCCCCGCGACGTGCGATCGCGGTTGCCGATTCATCGATCCGTCGAATAGTTTCGAT